GTCCAGACAATTGGTCAAGTACTCCTCGAGCTCCCCACCAAGGAGATTATCCAAGTGGCGTCTGTGGACTATGAAGCCGGTACTTCTCACGGAAACCCAGTGATCGACTACCTTCAGCGCAACGGAACGTCTATTGAGCAGCCGGTCTACTTTGAGAATCCCATCCCTCTCAGCGGCAAAACTGCCTTGGAATTGCGCGCTCCTGCGTCCAACGAGACATACGCTCGTGTTTCTGGCGACTACAACCCCATTCATGTATCTCGAGTCTTCTCCAGCTACGCCAATTTGCCCGGTACTATCACTCATGGAATGTACTCGAGCGCTGCAGTCCGCAGCTACGTCGAAACATGGGCGGCCGAAAACAACATTGGCCGCGTTCGAGGCTTCCATGTGTCCCTGGTTGGCATGGTCTTGCCCAATGATGTCATCGCCGTCAAATTGCAGCATGTTGGTATGATCGCTGGTCGTAAGATCATCAAGGTCGAGGTCATCAACAAAGACACTGAAGATAAGGTTCTCCTTGGTGAAGCTGAAGTAGAGCAACCTGTTACATCGTATGTCTTCACCGGTCAGGGATCTCAGGAGCAGGGAATGGGTATGGAACTGTACGCCAACAGCCCAGTTGCCAAAGAGGTTTGGGATCGTGCAGATCGCCATTTCATCGAGAATTACGGTCTCTCAATCATCGACATTGTGAAGAACAACCCCAAGGAGCTGACCGTCTACTTTGGCGGTCCTCGTGGTAAAGCTATCCGACAGAATTACATGTCGATGACCTTTGAGACTGTTAACGCAGATGGATCCATCAAGTCTGAGAAGATCTTCAAGGAGATTGATGAGGAAACGGCGTCTTATACTTACCGTTCTCCCTCTGGCCTGCTTTCCGCAACTCAGTTCACTCAGCCGGCTCTGACCTTGATGGAGAAGGCAAGTTTCGAGGACATGCGTTCCAAGGGTCTCGTCCAAAGAGATAGCAGCTTTGCGGGTCACTCGCTGGGTGAGTATTCGGCTCTCGCCGCACTTGCCGATGTCATGCCCATCGAAAGCTTGGTCTCTGTTGTTTTCTATCGTGGCTTGACAATGCAGGTTGCTGTTGAGCGAGATGAGCAAGGTCGCTCTAACTACTCTATGTGCGCTGTCAACCCAAGCCGAATCTCCAAGACGTTCAACGAACAGGCCTTGCAATATGTGGTGGAGAACATTTCTGAGGAGACAGGCTGGCTCCTGGAGATTGTCAACTACAATGTCGCTAACATGCAATATGTTGCTGCCGGTGATGTGAGTATTGATCCATATATCTACAACTTATCGTGCGTTCTGTTCTAATTTCTTTGTAGCTTCGGGCACTCGACTGTCTCACGAATCTCCTCAACTATCTCAAGGCTCAGAACATTGACATACCTGCACTTATGCAGAGCATGTCTTTGGACGACGTCAAGACGCACCTTGTCAAGATTATCCAAGAGTGTGTCAAGCAGACAGAATCGAAGCCTAAGCCTATTGCTCTCGAGCGTGGCTTCGCCACCATCCCTCTCCGGGGCATCGATGTGCCCTTCCACAGCACGTTCCTTCGTTCTGGTGTCAAGCCCTTCCGTTCTTTCTTGCTCAAGAAGATCAACAAGACTACCATTGATCCTAGTAAACTGATCGGCAAATATATTCCGAACGTCACAGCAAGACCGTTCGAAATCACCAAGGAGTACTTCGAGGATGTTTACAGACTCACCAACTCCCCCAGAATTGCGCATATCCTTGCCAATTGGGAGAAGTATGAGGATGGTGAACGCAACACTGGAGTGGCTGATGCCTAGGGGTAGATTCATTCCGATATATATAGGATTTCTGTTGTTCACTTGTTTCTAAATCTCAGTCGTCTTGTTCTAGCGCTGGTGTTTCGAAAATGCCCTTAATATCACTGTTCAATATTATCAGACCCTTGGCGATTGATGTAGGGATGTAATCATCTCAATACTGTTACGGTGCAGATGAAAGAATAAGAGATGCAATTTCATTCAGATACTTCATATCGAGTAGGTTCTAAGCTACTCCTTACAGTTATTACTACCAGCAACAACAACAACAACAACAACAACAACAACAACAACAAAAAATAAAAATAAAAATAAAAATATTCATCTTATGTAGTAAATTATCGAATTAAATTAGGTACGCCGGTAGCGCCTCTGTTTCTTGAGTCCTATAGCTAGCTGTACACTGTCCAGCGACCCCTACAAAACCACGGGGACTCTTCCTTTAGGTCAGCGCAACGGCAAAAGCTTCTTGTGGTCTTTTCATTGATCGCCCACGCTTCGCAAAAGCATTTTGATCAATAGTGCGAAACACAATCGTTATATGATCTGCGTAATGATGTTGTACCAATTTATGTCTCTTTCAGTGAACCAGGTCTTAAGAGCCTATCTTCTTTCCCGTACACTCCAACATCTTTGACAATTGCTATGAACCGCCGGTGATTCTCTTTGGATTCCCCAATACGAGGACGGAAGATTCTAAGCAAATCGCTACTCCCAATACCAGACTGCGGAATAGCGGCATGGATTTCTGCGGGTGTAGGAAAGCCTTGGGCACTACCAGATGGACCCGGAGTTGAAATGCGTGTTGGACCTGCAGGTGTTCAGCTACTCAGTAAATCGGTTCGTAGTGCGCAGGATGATAGAATCAAGCAACTTACCCCTCAGAGACTCCGGACTGCTAGCACGACTTCCGGAGAAGCTCTTGCTACCCAAGGGAGCCGGACTGCCGGCCCTTGAGCCCTGCGGTGTCACACTCTGTGAGGCCACTGACGGAGGATTGAGCTTCAGTTTCTTAACTTTCCCACTCTCACTCATTTCGCCGCCCGATCCAGCCCCACCGTCAACATCGCTAGCAGATCCTGCGCTGCCTGCTAACACATTCCGAACACGCTTTTTGCTGACCTAGACCGAATCAGTAACCGAAACAAACGCAGTTTTAACAGAAGGTAAAACGTACTGGTAATGATGAAGCGCTTGGAGACATAGGACGAGAAGGTGGCTGTGGTGTGGGTTGGGAAGACGGATGTTTACTCTTCCCCTTCTTGCGGGACGTATCTGTACCACTTGCATCAGACGGAGACCCTAGCCGCTTCCTAGGTGCTGCGGCAGAGCCTTTTTTGGCCGGATCGGCGTGTCGTGAGCGACCTGATGGAGTAAGGTTGCCTTTTGAGGGTTCTTTCTTGCTCTTATCCTCCTCAGCTTTGCCCTCTTCCTCCTCCTTCTGCCGTTCAGCTTCACTTTCGTCCGAGCTCTGTCAAAAATGTCAGATCGTCCCAAATATCGTACAAATGCACATAGGATACGGGGAAAGGAGGAAGAAATTACCTCCTCATCTGAATAAGGGTTCACATCTGAACCGCTACTATAGTCATAGTTCTTTTCCCTCTTCTGAAGAGCCTTGCGTACTTTCTTTCCAAGCACTCGGCGAGCTTCTTTCTCTCTTTTTTCTCTAAGTTCCTCCTCTTCGTAGTCCTTTTCGTTCTTCAGATCGAACACATTGGCTTTCAGTTGGTCTTGCTTGATTCGCTTTTCAGCGGCCTTGGCTTCCTCATCCTCGTTAAAAAGATCATCATGCTCCTCATCATCGGCAAACCTATCCTCTTCGAAGTCCATCTCATCCGCTTCTAACCCTTCGACACCGCCTGGGGTTCCCTGTTTACCAGCGTACACTTTTTGTTGCCTGGCAAATTGTTCCAGTTCCTTTCGTTGAGCTTGTTCTTGTTGTTTCTCCATAAACCACCGCGGATCTTTGATCTTCTTAGCCATAAGTCTCTCGGCTTCTTCTATGGTCAAAGCCTTGAATGTATTCTTCGCACTGAAGCGATACCACTTCTCAACCGGTATCATTCTCATCTTCCCTGTATTCTCAAGCACAAAGACTGCGTGGGTCTCTGACAACGCGGCTTCATAATTTCCTACCCATATATTTTTGTTGTCAAAATCCTCCAAGTGCCATGGAAGGGCCTCCTCATACTTGATCCGAGTCCTGGCTATCTCCTCTGGGGTCATGTCTGTTTTAGTCACTTGCTGAGTTTTCTGTTTGGGGGCATTATGCCTTTTCGGCGCTGATCCGACGGAAGGAGCTATTTGGGCCATGTTCTCTGCGCGCTCCTTTTCACGAGCTGCTTTCCTAGCCTCCAACTCCTCGCGTTCAAGTTCGTCCATCTGGGTGCTTTGTTCGGAGCCGGGTTTCGAATTGAGCTGGCCTCTCTCAACGTGTGCTTCATTCGGCCGTGCTCGTGGATCTCGGCGCTGGAGCCTAACAGGGCGAGTAAACTGACTTTCATCGCGAGGATCGACGGACTTTTTCGAGGTGAACCTGGCGATATGGTGCTTCAAGCCTTCGCGCAATGCTCGTCTTGTAGTCACGATGGGGTAATCAACGTAATTCTCAGACAACAACGGGCCGCTGAATCCGTTTGCCGAAAAATCATTCTTCGGGTTCAGGCTTTTCTCGACGCGAGCCCCTGGTAGCTGGCTTGAAGTGACTGGTCTTGAGTTAGGCATCCTTGATGCGCCGTTTGCTGCCGAGGTAGGAGCTGGGGGTCTTATTGCCGGTCTCCTCTTTGGTCGCACGAGGGGATCCGCCACTTTTGGCCGGCGAATCCGCACTGGTGGAGGACCGTTCGACCCCGTCGGGGTCTTGAGAGTCTGATCATTAGTAGGTGTGGTCATGATAACGTTTTGTGTTACTCGTCGAGGTCGGAGAAGCCCTTAGCAAGTCTTCCAGACAAAGTGGCTAAAAGGCTGCAAGTGTTGCGCTTGAGGCCAGGGTCGAATACATGCGTTGTATCAGGTGGAAGATTAGGATTTTGAGCAAGAGTAGATAACTACTCAGGCGTTGAGTACTGAAGTGAAGCCGGGCGGACGCGAGATGACTGAAGTGAAGTGAACGTGATTATGTAAGTGATCAACTACTTCGTTGACAAAGGTGGCGGCGTGACAAAGGCACAACGGCATACTCCGTCTGGTGTTACCACTGCTCACAGAATGCCATATTGTGGGCTACGTTGTATTTTTACGGAAATTAACTCAAGTTGTGGGCCTTCATAGTGTCAATGAGTTCTTATTATTACTATCTGAATTACCTTCTACCCAGGCCAGGACAGATTAAAGAATTATTTCAGCCATCCTTCACACCATCACTATGTCTGGTAGATAGATCAATGGAAGAGCTGAGATCACAGTAGAAGACTTATCTTGTATTTATTCTGATTATTTGAGGTAGGCTTCTCTCTGCAGGATTGTACTAGTACTCACATACAATTGAAGTACTGAATACAAAGCGGACAGCATTATCTATGAAGGCTATGGTAAAGTTTTCGGTCTGACATATTCTGTGGGTCAAAAAAATGCTTGGGGCAAACAGGCTGGTCATAAAAGGTGAGTTATATAGCTTTGGTAACGACGCAAACAAATGCATCTGTCTAACCAGTAAATAACTTTTTGACTAGATTTCAGTCTGGTAAAAGCGCCACTGAGAATAGAATTCGTGCCTGCCCAAGCACCGAATTTACTTCATTACCGAGACGAATTGAAAAGCTCAATTTTGAAAACGTCTTTAGAATTTTGTATAAAGGCCCCTAGGCTGGTCTATGGTATGGGCTCCTAAATGCCTCACGACACATTCGCACCTTTCGCGATGCAGAATCTTAAAATAGCTCCTCAACCTTTTGGTCGTCATCATATGCATTTCTGTCAATAGGCGGATGCGGCTTTTCTTCGCCCTCTTCATCCCGCATCAAAACTTGAACTAGCCTATCGCAGGCTTCCCGAACAGCGTCGTCATCAACATGGAGGTGACATTCTCGGATTATAGGATATACTTTGATGGCCCTCATCTTATCCCGTCCTTCACGCGTCGTGGTAAGCAGCAGCAGAGTCTCAAGGTGTGTCACAATGATACTAGTGTCGCTGTCTCTTTGTTTGTCGGGCGGCAGCAGCTGGAGATCTGGCAGCATATCCATAGATTCTTCCTCATCATATTCCTCAGGGCCCATGATAGGCAACAAGATATAGGGAAGAATATCAGCCTCATCTTCGGACAGGAGTTTGGGATGGAAAGGTAGGTCAAATGCAACGTTCTTGATAGTTGACGCGACACCTTTTCTCCGGATCCCACTCGTATGTTCCGTGAACACGGTTAGTTTCGTCACTGGTACAACATCATCGTACTCTTGTTTTGTAGTGAAGTAGGCCCGCCCTTCCTCATATTTCGAGAGATCAGCAAACAAATATGACAGATAGTCGAAATTGGCGTGTTTGTTAAGTGCGCCCTCGGCTCCTTTAACAAAACAGTCCATCAGCTGATCGATCGCATTAGCAGAACTGGATACCCCCTCTGGAACCTTCCGTTTCAGCGTGAACAATTTCTTCATCTTTTCTGATTTCGCAAGGTTGGCAAACAACATGGCGACATCATCCGCATTCGGCTCCTTGACATTCTGCGAAGTTGGATGTTAGGCAGGTATGCAGACATTAACATCAATTCAGCAACTCACCGCCAGTTTGACTAAAAGAGTTTCGACAAAAGCATCGTCTTCGGCAAGAGCCGCTAAGACTTCCTCATCGGCTGAAAGGTTGATAAGTATTGTTATCGCATTTTTGGCGATAGGCTTTCGGTATGGGAAGATGGTCAGCGAATGCCTCCGTCAATGTTTAACGGCACAATTGAAGGACTTGGGTTACTGACTGTGTAGTCGCGGACCAAAAGCTTCAAGTCACGGACTGGTAGAAGCTGGTGGCGTTTGAAGAGTTCCGGCTGTGAGACCGAAAAGCCGACTAGATTTTCGCATGCTGAAAAGACCAGAGGTTAGAATAACGCTGATGTATGTCTCGGCAGAATGCGGGAGATGAAGATAGCAGAAACATGCGGTTTAGCACCAAAAGTCTAAGCAATCTGCAGCTTACCAATCTGTCTGATCGGTGTGTTTCCATGGTGGAGGAATTCAACAAGCTGGTTGATGCAAATACATCAGTCTCCGAATCGAGGACCCAAGACTTTCTTACAGTCAAAAGCGTGGTTCTACCTACCTCTTCTAGCTCTGTCGGCATGTTAAGGGGTTCTTGATTTCAGGTTGAGGAAAGAGGTGAAAGAGGCGACAATTCGCACAATGCTGATATCATGTAATACGTGCATTCTTTTCCTTTTCTTCGTCTTCTTTTCCCCGCCGGCTGGTGGGGATCAACTTTCTCAGGACTTCGGTACCGCCCACTCGATTGGGTATCCATCCAGCCATACTAAGTTCCTCCTGTCGAATCTGGCTTAAAGTACTCCATTTATGTGAAGCGCCTATGTATAAGTATCAGGACAGACTACTGAGTTACAGTAAAACAAACCCACGGTGTTAGACAAGGTTTGTGATTGAAATGAGGGCTTTTTAATACTAGGCGGTGACCCCTCTCTTCCGAGTTGCGCGCCCCGCGATGTATCCAAACGTATATGGTTGTCACAGAGACAGAAGTCAACCCTTTTGTCACCACTTGATCAATCAAGGACTGAGAACTCTAGGGCCGCAAGATATATTATCGAGTTTGGCATGATTGCGCATGCTGACTCAGGAGAAGACGCACATATCATGTACTATTGACCCTCCAGGAAGCTGTGACGGCATCAAGGCACGGCAGAGTTGGAAGGGAGAATCAATACAACATAGGAGGGAGCAATCCTGAACAGAGTCCTTACCCACCGTACTCTCTCTGTCCACCTTCTCATTGATGTCAGCCTTCTCTTCGCCTTCCTCCCCTGTTCCTCTTCCACGTCGTCGTCCCCTTGTGACCTCAACAACTTCTTCAGGCACAACAGATGTCTATCTTCATGCAGAGCCGGTCCACCAGACTCATACACTCTCAACACATGCGAGTTTAGCTCCTCCGCATGATACATCATCCTATAAATAGCGTCTGCGACATCCTCTGCAAGTTTATTGTCTCCTCCCTGTTTTGCTTCCTCTTTGATCTCATGGAGCTGCTTCAGCCAGAACATCCACCATTGAAAGCCGGTTCATCGCGCGTATTGGGTCTTCGGCGTCGGACTCATTAACGGAGCGGAGATCTCTATTTTCATTCTCCAAAGTAGCGCGGAACAGAAAGGGGGCAATCTGGCAGAGTCCATCCATGTAGTCGCGAGTTGAGGCCACTTTAGCGAAGATGGAGGACAAATTAAGCCGCTGGGTCCCAGACATTGTCACGAACCCGTTGATCCAGAATTCCACCATGTCCAACACGGAAAAGGGGAGGCCTTTCTAAATTAGACATTTCGGTCCCTTGCCACACCAACACCAAGTGCCCCTCTTACTGGCCTGGATAGCGGGCCTTTGCCCTGAATGCGGAGGATGTCCAGGACAATCGCATCATGCCCAGGACTCTCATGCGACAGGTACCTACCTGCCTGGTAGTATACATGCCAAATGCCGTGCAAGTATCCTTTCAGGCTGTCCACTCCATCCCCGACAGTGCAGTATCTGTCGGCGGTGATCCAGACTCTGTTGCCGGCCACCGAACGCAGTTAACTGATGTTTCCCCGGCTAGCTTCTTGACGAACTTCCTCCCAACCTAAACCAGCAGCGTTAACAGGGACTTGCTCATTACCATCTTCTGGTAAGGAAGCGAGTAAAGCCTCGGAATACTGCTGCATATTGCTATGATGGTGGTATGGCATTTCGTGAACGTTGGAAGGCCACAGGTCTGACAAGCTCGTGGTGTAGCAGTATGATGGGTTTTACGAAGTATTCATCACCCAATGCCCCCGATGGGACTGCCACCCAGGCAACACTGCTTGACAACTATAAATTTGTTCTAAGGGTGTTGAGCAAAGGACTGGATCCGGATCATTGATATCCAGTCCAACTTGAGGTGGTTATAAGGCTTGTGACGTGGCCTACATAGACGGCTCCAGGATTCATTTATACTCAGTGTCCCTGGTCAGACCGCCATCCAGGCTGCACTGTTTGGCGGCTGTCGATTGGCTTTAGGGGCGTTCTTGAACAGAGAATTGAGCCCGAGCGTTACGACCTCCCGCTTAAAATGAGGTGGCACAGGGTGGCGGCTTCGGGCCCGGGACCAGTCACTAAATAAATCAGATAGCAGAAGGGGATCCAATAATGTTATCTGAATAAGAGCTTGGCGCTTGCTTGCTTGTTACGAGCAGTCTGTTCTTTCTCGCGAGATGCGAGTAATTGTTTGATTTTTCAAGCCAGTGATGACAACTACTTTATTATCGGGTGCTTACTCAGATACAAACAAGCAAGTCGCGAGAGGAAACTGAAACTAGAGCGGAGATAAACAATAAATGACTCCAACGTTGAATGGGTTCGCTGGTTGTTACACCTCTGATGTTGAGTGCTACCTGCTCCTTTCCAATTCCGCCGGCCAGCCGCAAGTGCCTATTGGCATTCAACAGATCGATCATAAAAATCATAAATGCACTTTTCTCCTTCATGGATACACTAGAACAAAGTATGATCAGCCGGATGTATCTAGACAGTCAAGGAGCCCTGTGACGGTCAATCACGTTTCTATTAGCAAACTATGTTGAGCACCACACAAGGTTTGTCTCGTTGTTCATCTCGGACCTGCATGTATTATTCTTTCTGTTGCAAGTCTAATGTCATGTCCGTATCCCATTTAGCGATATTCTCCTCACTTACATGAAGTCAGCAGAGTGTTCACTCACGCCTTCATGTTTGACCAAAGCCCCATTCTTATCTCGTGAGATCGGTTTATTATCTTTTCCAATCTGTTTGACTCGTGGAGGGTCGGCTTCGACAGTCCCGACTTCGATAGCTGCAGCTGGAAGGTCGGCGGAACTGAAATGAAGTCGACAGCGCCAAATCTTATTGAGTCCGTTTCGGATTGTCACTTGGCGGGGCTTGCAGCTGCTCCGAGCACGATAGATCGCAGAAGGCTAACAGAGGCCAAGGGGATGATTTGTATGATCGGTATATGGAGGTATGCTAAGGACTGACTCGAGGGTCTGAAAGAGATATTTAGTTGATGGGCGGTTTTGGAGCATCAAATAGTCACTTCATACATCTTCTTCAAGCTCGTCCCCTTCGCATTCCTCGTAAACCCCCAGTGGCACGCCCAAATATAGTCCAGCACATTCTTCGAAGTTCAGGGCCCAATCTCAAGTCTTAAAAATGGTAATTATCTGGACAGTCGGAACCACAACCACCGACCTTTTGGGATCAAGAGGGCTAGGCGTTGGACTGGTTATATTGGCTCTTGCAGCAGTTTCCAGGTCATGGATAGGCATCTGCCAGGAATTGGAAATCAAGCAAGATACATGGCTATAAAATAAGGCAATACATGTGGCCAGGCTGATTCCCCACCCATTGATTCAAGTTTCTTCCTCTGCCCTCCACTAAGATAATACCTGACCCACGGTTCTAATCTGTCCTCATCAGATCTGTAATGATTTTGTTCGAAATTGGATGGTGTAGCAGACACCTTTATAAGATTGGTCCTTATCACCTGCTCTATTTCTCTTTTTCGACAAGGCAATATTCTGGACGGTATCCATATATATATATATATATAAAGAAACTTCTTCACAGGCATCGCGCAACACTCTACTAATTCAAGGATGCAGAACGATATCTACGGGCACAAAGCCGCGGGTGCCCAAACCAGCCAGTCGACTCTTCAACATGGATAGGGTATATCTACATTAGAACTTAGACCACGCAGCATTCAAAGCTAACTTCGCCAACACTCTACAAGCGTCTTAGGTTGGTATTAGTGTCTGTGGTGGTATCTACGGACGATTTCAAATTATTACCGCCACGGCCAGCAGTCAGCCGACCTGCCAACAGAGGAAAATAATCGATTCAGTACATTTGGCGGCCCGAGCCGAGCATGGCTAAACCAAAGAAGCATCATGGCTAGTTAGAAGCCCAGATTATTCGATGCGAATCAGACAGACAAATTAGGGGACCCCCTCTTTTGCCGCACGCTTTAGCGGCTTCTGTCATTGTGGGGAAGTCGTTCAATTCGAGACCTCCTCACCATCCTGTATCTTTCTTCCACGTACCCTATAGCTGCTCCATAGATTGATGGCCACCCCACTGTACATACGGAGCATCCACTAAAGCCAAAGACACTTTCCGTTTAGTTGGGACTTTAACTCCATACATGAGAACCATGGCACACAATTCTTATCAACATGACGGCAAACCCATTGATCTCGATGAAATCCATGATTACCTGATAAGCCTGGCTTTCCGTGCTGGGGATATCATCAACAGTGCTCTACCTACAGATGATAGTACTGGATCAAAGATGAATTGTAAGACCAAGATATGCTTTACCAGCTTGATGTACAAGCGATCTAGCTATGCGAGCTGGTCGTGGAGATGAATGAAGCCCAACTAACCCCATCCATTTAGCTGCTGATATCGTTACTCGATATGACAAAGCCGTTGAAGCTATGATATCCTCGGCCCTAAAAGAAAAATATCCATTATATCAGTACGTCCATACGGATTGAGTTATCATTCCCACCTCCCCCCAACAACAACGCTTCATAGCCCATTCCTTCTCACCTACCTGCGTCCAAATTACGGCTCGGTTCACTCTCTAACCATCTTACTGTCAATTTCCTGTTGTTATTGACTCACATGATGAACAGGTTTCACGGAGAGGAGACCTATGACCCAGCCCATCCCCTAACCGATGCACCCACGTTTGTGGTTGATCCTATTGATGGCACGGTCAATTTTGTGCATGGATTTCCCTGCTCCTGTATTTCTCTTGGTTTCGCCGTTTGCCGTGTACCCATTGTAGGCGTCGTCTTCAACCCTTCAACGCGCACTCTTTATTCTGCAATACAAGGCCGTGGGTCATACCTGAACCGCACCACCAAGCTTCCCTTCAAGGGCGATGATATAGGACCTTTAAAAAGCCTGGAGAATTCACTCGTTGGTATTGAGTGGGGCTCGGAGAGGACGGGTGCCAATTGGGAAACAAAGGTGCGAACTTTCGAGAAACTTGGCCGAGCAAAGGAAGATGGTGGTGCGATGGTCCGTTCGATGCGCAGCATGGGTTCTGCGGCGCTGAACCTCTGTGCCGTTGCAGCTGGGACCCTAGACTTGTACTGGGAAGGGGGTTGCTGGGCTTGGGATGTTTGTGCAGGCTGGGTAATCCTGACCGAAGCAGGTGGTGTCATAATAGATGGAAATTCAGGAACTTGGGAAGCAACTCTCGATGGAAGAAAATACCTTGCTGTTAGAGCATGCTCTGATGAAAACAGCAGGCTAGAGCTCATTAAGGAGTTTTGGGGGCAGATTCAAGGAAGCTTTGAATACTGATGCCTGCACTTAGCGGGCCAAAGGCTTCGGTCTACCATGCGTCAGTTATGTTGTCTCAGATCCTTATCATCAGAATGTACGCAGTCCAACTGATATACTGTGCTGTAAATGTGTAATATTATAGTACTATATATTGCATAACGTAAATATGCATCTCTATGTGCGCAACCATCTTACTCCTCAGCTGAACATGAATATGGACACAGCCAGCACACTTTCCCCTCAGCCCCAGTTCTAATAGGAGATTTATCAAACGAATTGAAGAGCAATCACCACAATTTTGGTGTCCATTTTTAGCAGTCCTTGCCAGGCCTCAAGCTCCCATCTATAATACAAGCCCATGGAACCCGAGAAATTCATAACAAACCAGTATCGGCTGGCAGAATTGTTATTTTTTTGACCCCGGATTGTATGTGGCTTAAAACTTAGACCTGGCATTATTGTTCAGCGCACCGCGCATTACTCCTTCATTATGTATAACGTCGGAAACAAGCTTCACGTATTCAATTGTGGTCCTTGTAAAGTACCTTGAGATTTATCACCATTCTTCGAGCTTTCAGGTTCGGTCGCCGATGCATCTGAGTGGTCAACGCATTGTTCATTTGCACCATCGCACCGAGCTATTGATGGAGGTCCAAAATGAGTATCGACAAGGTGTTGCACAACAGGCCAGCCATATGCATTTGTGAACATTCGCCGTACAATGATGTTGTTGTGAGCGTCAGGCTCAAGGCGGACGAGGACTTTGCGCCATGACAAATCACGGTGATAAGCTCTAGCGATTTTTTCTTCAAGCCTAAGGCCACTCTCAGTTTCGTTGACGAGAAGTGACTTTTCCTGGGACTCAACTCTCGGAGCAGGTTGTGCATTCGATGTTTTATGTTGTAGAGATCCCAATGTCAGTGCTCGCCGTTTAGGAGCCATCGGGGGCGGCATATCCTCGGGGTTGTAGATGCGATCATGGAATATTGTTTTCGGCCTTTTAGCAGGATCGAGGATAAAGTCTATGGAAGGGAGAGGCGGCATAAGAAGATCACTAGCTGATTCGAAGAACGTAGTTTGGGGAGGGGTATGAGGCCCGTATTCATGGAAGTCGCCAGTAGCGGAGGGTCCCTGAGCGTAAGGTCTGGCAACGGTCGGTCTCTCCATATCACCAAGAGTGTCAACAGTCTGGCTGCGCTTGTATATTCTCGTTTGCTTATTCCTAGATTGTGTCCTGGCTGTCTCCTTCGGTCGCAGAATCGAGAACATCTTTGAGAATGGGCCCATTGACGTGGATCGAGACAAGACCTGCCTGGGAATGGTATTTACACTGTTTCCAGGTGATTCAGTATACGGATGCTGTTCGCATGATGGGATATCGGTTGTACAGCTTGCAACACCACCAGCGATTGTAACATCTTGTTTCGGAGAGGCGTCGTCTGTTCTTGACCGAGCCACGTTGCCATAGCTGCTCTGCTCATTAGCAATTGTCAATTCTACCTCGCTTGCCAGATGGGTCCGTGAAGAATTCGAATTAGCTCCTGTCAACTCTGCCCAGCCCCATTCGGCCATTGTGCCCACAATGCCATTCTCCCTCCTAGCCTTTTCGACCCGATCAAGCCCTTTCCAATCAAGGAAGAGCAAACAAGAGGTCCGCAGAGGTACTATTCCGTCATTTACAACGTTGGAGTAAATTGTGCGGCGTTGAAATTTTGTAAGAACTTCATGGGCAGGACCACAAGGAAGCACTCTCAGCAATGGCTTGGAACGGACGTCTGGGACTCCTTGGGAGTTAACAGAATGCCCTCTTCCTCCTATCAGAGTTTCCCAGCCACTCCTCATCCTTGGTGCTGTCCAGCTAAGCCCTAAATCCTGGCCTGTCCGACCAACAAGTCCCAAATCTAGGGCAAAACGAACATACACCGGATTCTCATTACTTAGACCAAGAAATGGGGTTGCCAAAGCTATGAAATTCACCGGTCTGATCTTGTCGAAGAAGTCAGGGAAATGTTTTTGAATATATGCGATCGCGTACGTTTGAACGAGACCTCCAAGTGAGTGACCGACAAAGCTGATACTGGTGACCTGATAGCCACCGTTCCCGCAGATCGACGGTTCTGCGTACATATCGCGAGATTGGTCATGTTGGGGAGACTCTCCCGTGGCTCGTTTCCACGGTGTAAATGGCCCTGGATTCTTTCCTACCCCTTTCTGGGAACCGAAAGGCTGCTCCGGGCATGCAATTCGCAGAACGTATTTTGCGAGACGTTTGCCAAGGTATTGTATTCCACGCTCCGTGCGGGTTGCATTTCCGGGAAAGCCTCTTACTATTACCTGCTCCTCGTCGTCGTAGTCGCTGTCTTCATGACCTGCCCTACTATCAGCTAAGTTAGCTTCCACCTTGTGAGCCGTTGTCTTTTCCTCGAGAAAATAATAATCGAGGTGCGGGAAGTGAAGGGGATCTCGGAAGTAAAGATTCCGTAAGAGCAAGGGAAAGAAATCTTTGTAAGCCAAGTGGGAAGATTTCGCGCAAAGCAACCGATGACTGTAGTGAATAAGACGGTGCAGTATCCGCATGTGGCGCACTAACGCTGCGCTTACCTTTCCATTGCTGGGTATGCCTCGGCATTTTGTTGATCTCCGAGTCCCTGACCATTGGTTTTCGCCCTACTTTTAGCTAATCTCACGGCGGCATCAATGCTCTCCTTTAGGTAAAGCATGTCTGCCCCCAGATTGCTGTGTAGTCCATGGGTCAACACAACAAGATGGATTTTCTTGGAATGGTTATCTTTGAACGGCTCGCTTTCGTTATCGCCGTTTATTGCTGAAGCCTGCTCATCATCAGAGCCCACTGGTGGAAGATACGGTGTGTTCCAAAGACTAGCAGTATCGTCCAATAGTAAAGTTATAGACCGGGAGTAAACGCCTTTGGTAGCAAGCACCTGCTTGCCCCTTGTCTCAACTGACCAGTGATCATGCAATTGAGCAGCCTTGGGTAGCCCGGCACCGAAGGATGCACCTGTAGCTAGTGATTCTACCGAATTCTCATCACGGCCAACCAGCAGCTCGAAATTGACGGTTGCGGTGCTCGAGAATACGACCTGAGATATGATTTCAATGACCCAAGTTGTACTTTTCTCAGAATCGTAGTGCTGTTCTCCTCGACTATGGCAAGTATTCTGGGGTACAGTTAAGGTCGCATTCCAAGTGCCCCCGGCTTTAAGATACGGTTCGTATTGAGGAATACACTCTGATTCTTGTTGGTCGACGCCAAGATTCGGGTTGTACGTGGACGGATAGCATGACGCATAGAGAGTGTACGGGCCATGTAAGTAGGCAGCTCGTAGGGGCAGCGCAGATGTATTCTTAACCTTGACGTGTAGCTTAGCCGGGGGGAGGCGGATGTTGTCCGCCGCAGGTGTGTACGTCAACGTGTATCTGTTCCGGCGGGATCAGTAAGTAAATGTTTGCATATAGCGTAGCTTCGATGATGAGGAAGGAGCCAAGTGATGAAGGTCACAAACCTGATTATCTCGCCGACACGGACACTGCCGGCCTGATGAATCAGTAACATTTCAGGAGCTCGACTAGCAACTGTCGCGTTTGCACGCCACCCTTGAAGGGTATGATACCTCAGTTGATTCTCACTGGCGGCCAAGCGAAGTCCTTGATCTGGTGTTTGCGATGCCGAATATATTCGCGGAGATATGAACATGGGAGACAAGTACATATATTACCATCGTAGACGATGACTGACCGATTCCCCTTTGAAGGTCAGAAAAGGGTATATGGCAGGTGGCCGACTATGTCCAGGTAGATAGATGAAGTATGTGTTTCATTAAAGCTATCGATGAAAGGCAGATGGGTGTAAAATAATATGCTGCTCGGTCACCCGATACGTCCATTATGCCATGGCTAAAAGTGTATATTCCCCTGAATGAGCGGGAGTAGTGTCAATCAGAGTGGTAGATTTACATTACAGTAATAAGTCTTCCGTGTCCGTCCGCACTAGCATGACCGCCTTTCTTCTCCTATTTTACTCGCCAAATACGGTAGCAGATGTTCTGCTTAGTACTTTAACTTTTACTCCCCTTGTTCAAAATACTTCTATACTTCTAGGGTAACATACGGAACTAAGAGAGACTATGCACTATTGAATAGCTAAGACAGTCGCGCTCTTAAAAGGTACAACTAGATTGATTGTAGAAAACTACGGAGTACTGAGTAGCAGACTAGGTATGTATAGTCTCCGCTCGATTAGGGTGCAGTCAGTGCGTTCATGTCACGCTAGAACCCTCTGGAACCGAATTGCCATAACTACAAGCAATAATAATGATGTAGTTAATCTGCAGTGGTAGCTCCTTGTGCAAGGAGTCGGGTGGCCAGACCTTCACAGCCTACTCCAAGCGTACAATGTAACGGAGTCAGAGCTATGGTAGTGGCTCCAGGCATGACCTCTGCAACTGATTTATCCTTTCATGAGGACTATCTCAATTGTCAATACATCCGGGCGAGGCCTTTTGGTGCTGCAGTATTTCAAGTAAGGCCCTGGAAGCTTTATGTACCTCCACCCAACCACCATGTTCAACCGCTATAATCTTTCCATCGATACAGACCCGCCTCCATCTCTCGTCCACTTCACGAAATTCAATCCGGAATCCTTCAATCTCACCATAAGAGACACTTTCATCAGCCACGTGCTGCCCCGCCTGGTATGCAGAAGCCATTACTTGCATAACCCTTGATGCCGACATTGGCTCAAAATGAACCATCCACAGCCGACCGTCCAAAGGCCTTGAGTGAGGAGAAATCATAAAATCTTTCTCTAGACTCGAGACAAGACTAGCCAACACATACATATGCTCGGTGCACGCCAAAGTTTCTTCGCGCTTGCTCCTACCTTGATCGTCCAACTTGAAAAGTGTGACAATACCGCTAAACTTGTGGGGTTCAGTACTGTCGGAAGGGTAGAGCAATTCCTTTGCGGCTAGTTTGAATCTATCGGCTCCAAACTTGCGATACTGGACAGTATCGCTGTCGGCAACCAATGCCGCATGTAGACCCCAACTCGCAACAACGCCACCGTACACCTTGGGGTGTCCGTGAACGTTCGCCGAATTGCGTGTAATGGGAATTCTTTCACGGCCTTCGTCAATGATATAACTCGCCCCCGGTGAAAATTCGGCAACAAAGGTAGGCACACTGGTCGGTGTCCCTTGTAATAGAGCTACCAATCCAGCTGTCGGGTGTGCCAACAATCCTATTGAATTCGCCATAGCATTTCCTGTTCCTGTAGGGATGAGAGCGATGGTCGGAGGCACGAGAAGACTCTCCGGAGTACTATGGAAGGCATCAATCATGTCGGTTAAGCCTCCATCACCTGAGAGGAGAATGATTGTCTGCGGAAGTCTTTGCTTGGCACGCGGAATGAACCTTTCATAGCATAGTTCTGTGATGGTTCGGGTCGATTTCGTCTCATGGAGCTCATAATTTGTTACTCCGATGTAGAACAGCAACGGCTGTAGGATATTGCTATAGAAGCTCATTCCTGTTCCTGTTCCAGATGTGGTGGAAACAATGACATCAATCCTAACCCCTTCCGGACCAGAAGAACGTAGATAAGATGGCAACTGCGTAAACAGGTGCTTTCGCAACTGTGTGGGTAAAGTGGCTAGCTGGATGCTTTCGAGCAACGTGTGTTTGCTCTTGAGGTCGCTTGTATCTTCGCCATCGCGGAAGTATAGCAGGCGATACAATGAATCTCCGTCCTTCTTTTGGGGCACTATGGAGACAATGCTATCACAGGCGATTATTAATTCATTTGTATCTTGTTGGGATATGCACCGAAGGTTATTTTTCTGTGAATCACAGTCATCGAAGCATTCAACGTTGATAGTATATACAACAGAGGCCATGTGGGGCTAAGGTGTTAATGGTCGCCTATTAGACAAAAAATGAAAGGGGCTTGAAGGAAGCGTGGAAACAAGCAGGAATGAAGCAACTAGTAGACTAACGGCTTGAGAAGATCAGGACCACGCCCGAATATATAGGAATGGCCATGGATTGTCAGCTGCGGGACTATTTATCTAGACCTAAGTAGCTCTAAGAGCGGGGTACGCTAGCACTATCATGTCATCAATCCGGACACCAACTCACTCAAACAACCGCAACCCTATAATTGCTTCGCTATTTCCGCTGGAGAACTAGGATGTTGTTCTACATGAGAGGTGTTGTTCGGGAATATGTGTCGCACTATAACATACTGTGTAGATGAGTTTGGTACTAGAGGACCTGCTTAAGGCTATCATATCTAGCTGGAATGCAGAGATGGGAAACGAGGCAGTCATATAGTCACAACTCTGTATCACAGAGACCTAAGCCCGTGTACAAAATCAATGTGTCCGAGCTTCTGGTCAAGAGTGTGACCCGTGCTTATCACTAAGGTTCACTGCAATGAATGTCTTGGGAAGCTTTACCCTGGAAGATGTTAGTGACTGGTCAGTTGGGACTCTCAATTACATGTGTAACGCTTTCGAGTGTGACTTACGTGTCGAATCTCGCCTTCAAGGTCTCTATAACCTCTTTCCAATCATGATGAGCAGTCAAGCTTCTCCTTGGTGCACATCCAATGGCGTGCCGAGAATCAAGTTGCACGTCTAGTGGGTCAAAAGCATGGCAACCAGGGCTGATTGATATCCGAATCGAGTAGGAATTTGTTGACGATTCACAGTCCTTGGCCTCATAGAGTTCGAAGCAGATCTGAGATAAGTAGTCCAGCTCGGGAATGGCGGTCCTGGCTATCTTGGTCTGAATTCCGCCTTCCAGAATGCAGTTTAGGAGAGTATAAATATGTGACTCCTTTGTGAAATAGAAGAAAGACTTTGCGTCAGGCGAAGCCTGGACCTCTTCCAAATCCCTCACGATTCCTTGAAGCAGCGGCAAGGATGTCAGAAGGCCGATCTCCAGTTTCTCCGTGTCTGTGATCCCGTATTCCTGCGGTGTCACATAATCGAAGAGTACCTTAGCCAGTTTATATAACTCCCTCAATTTCGAAAGTCTCCCATCAATCTTGGCTTTCGTTGAGCTGGAGCCTGGATATAATTTGAAATAGTGGTCATAACTGTCATCAAGTGCTCTGAAGTGTGGCATTAGTTCGAATGCATGCATGCGCTTTTTCCATCCGAACCGATGGGCGAAAAGCGAGCCTTCTGTTTGTTCCTCGTGCTTATCATGGTCACTCTCATTGCTAGGACTAACAGAATCATCTCGCCTGGTACTCTTCAAGCTATAATGATGCTTTTCGTCTTCACTTTCGTCGCTATCGGGTGGCATGAAGACCCATTCTAAGAATTGTCGATTATGAAGCGCATCGAATTTCATGCTGTCGTAAAGCTCAGAAAGTTTACTGGGATCAACCTTCTCCGTATCACAAAATTCGGCAAAAAGCTTCTCCCATCGTTCTTTGAAAAGCATGGGATCTTCACCTGTACACCATCTTCCCTGAATGGAAGACAAAGAAGGTTTTTCGCATCCTGTGTTAGTCTGGAAGGATGGGCAGCCGTCATTATTATCTGTCCCAGAAGGCTGAAACGATGATTCATCAAATTTGCGGAAATTGTGTCTCATAACATCCCGATGGAACTTCATCAGTTCAACGACGGTAGCTAGCACAATTGATGGCTCCGGGATATTGTCCTTTGGCCACGTAAACTGCGAAGGTGCGGATCCTTCCCTTAAAAGGAGCTTTAGCTTCTTTTTCACCTTATCCATGAGATCCTTCGCAGCATTCGAGTCGTCCAAAAGATCTTTACGGACTTGTATGAAATTTTCGGGAAGCTCCTTCTGATCGAGAAAGGAGCAAGCCCATATTTGGGCTATACTGTTGATCAGAATGGATTGGAAAAAAAAAAAAAAAAAAAAACCATTGTCCTGACTTACCACTCGTGCTCACTCTTCGTTCAGAGCTTGTATATATGCGGACATTATTCAAAGCTTCCTTGTTCATTAACTTCAGATCATCACGCATGTTAAGCCCTAGATCCTGTGATTGATAGCGAGCTGCATGTGTTGGTTCCCCTCCCCACTTGATTACGAGTTGGAGTTTGTCTAGAATCAGATCGTTTTCTGCGGCAGAAAATCTCGAAAAGGTTGCACCGGATATCGAGTCACTCCGCGTTTGAGGTCGACTGACTTGATCATCTCCTGTGGAATGCTGTTCCTGCGTAGATACAAGTAATTCATGCTGCGCTGGCCCGGAAGGTGATGTTGGGAGGGCCGACGATGTCTGCCCGCGTAACTCTTCCGGCTTCCGCTTGCGAAACATTGGTTTGATTTGAACTTTAGTCCCTGGCCAGCCCCCTTTCTTCTCAAGTGACGTTCGGAGCAGCTTTAATTTGTCCATATCTTCGAGATTCTGGTCCATGGCAACCTTGACCGCATCCGAGACGCTTGCCAATGCGGCCTCACCCTTGATCACTACCTCTTCTTGATGGCCTTTGAGCAAGTCAATAAAAGGCTGGCTGTGAAACGTGAATTTGAACTTCTGCTTGGGCGTGCGATCTGCGTGTCTTATAACTGCCACCATTCCCTTGAGTTTCCATGAGTGTTTCGAAGCTGGCGGCGGCGGCGGCGGCAGGCCCTCGGTAGGCAGGTCCACTGGCAATATTGACGACTTAGAGTTCTGCGAAGTATAGATCCTTGGGTGCGCGAGTTTATCGAGCCCACTATGGTCCACACAGCCATTTCCATTGTCGACTTTCTCCGCAGATGATGAAGTTATTGGCCGCGAAACAATGGAATCAGACGAGCCTGTGTCAGAACCCCTTAAACCCGTTTGGTTTCCGTGAAGCTTCGATGCACTTGGGGATTTCAGTAGGGTCTTCAAGGTGTGTCTGTGAGACATAGAATGTCTCCAAGAATGACCAGAATCGGCAGGAATAGCATCGACGGGCTCAAGAATTCCTTCAAGTTTGCGCTTTTCGTTTATAAAGGTGTCCCTCAGAATAGCAGCGCATCTGTCATAATAGTCATTGTTGTCTTTGACAAAACTCCAGCCGTTCACGTCAATCACATAGCTTTTCTCCCCCACACGAAGCATGTCGAATCCGCATATTCTCTGGCCAAACCCATTTGATATCTTAGAAGCAATAGCTGCTTCATCCCTGCTCAGTTTTGTAATATATCTGAGCTCCTTTCCATGGGTATTGCGGCGAACGAGTCCGTCAACCACAGGAGACTTTCGCGTCTCTGCGTGACAGAAATCTGGACCGACTGTATAGGCTTTGACGTCCTCTGAATTATCGACCCTCAGGAACTGTTCATAAATGTAGCTTGTATCTGTTTCTGTGACTGATCTGGGGACGGTAAGGTCGGGGTCGTATTCGGAGCTTTTGTTGCCGACCTTTCGAAAAAGCCTTCTACCACCACCATTATATTGCTGGTCGTTAGGAAAGTATATATGGATGTTGTGGTCTTCCCCATTTACTGGCTTCTCAACGAAAGGTTTTCTGAAAACTTTGCCGTCAACAATAAGAGAATCGCCATCGTCAGATATCCTCACGTTCATTGTTCTCAAAGCTCCTCCCCCAGTGCCATCACTGGGACCCTCGAGTTTCACTCCTGTCAGATTATATACATGCTCGGCGAGTTCTGGAGATTCCAGGGTAGGCCCTCCGTCTCGGTTGACCTCCAGTCTCTTGGGTGTCGGGACACTCATCTGATCTAATATTTTCAAACAGAGACGCCGGTCCCATAATACCTTCTGCATGGGAAGATCATTGACACAGAATGGCTTCCGAAGTCTTGCATATGCGATAGCTTTGTCCAACGGGAACCCATCGGAAAAGAATGCTATCAGATATTCACAGACAGGCCAATTCTCTACAGCTTCGTCAAGGATCACCTTGTCACCAAAGACAATTACTTCGAACCCACCCTTGGATTGAAGACGCGTCAATATATTTTGGCTGGGTTTGCTGCGGGCTTTCACGTCCAACGCACAGACACCAATTCGTCCGAGATATGGTATTCCGGAGACCTCAGCTTCACTGATCGAGCTTGCAGCCGTGCTCCCACTGAGCCTTCTGGGCGCCCGACTAGAGGAGCGAACTGGAGGGTTCGGGGCTTGTCCAGCGTTCCAATTATCTGAAGGAGAATCGGATTGGTACGACTTGGATCCTTGTCCTTGCGCGCCATTTGTGTTTCCCTTCGAAGAATTCGGAGCCGTTGGTTCATACAGGAGGCTGAAAGAACCTTTGTCTATACGATCGGAGCCTACACTCGGCGATGATGCCCGGGATTCTGGCTTCGCTTCCATACTGGGGCCTGTAGTGCCAACGTCACTAGAAAGACGGACAATGGGCTCGCTGGAATCCATTGAACATGAGGCTTGGAAATTTGACACAAAGATGTCGGATAATGATGAGCTTGGTCACAGATTGCCACTGATCAGGTTCCGGATAGGAGGAACTTGCCGGACGTGGAGTCAACAAATGACAGAAAAGTCAATGGATGACGTATTTTTGTCTCAGTAATACTTATGTTCTAGTGCACATTTTTCCCCTTTCTTTTCGATTTGGCCGTTGGCGACCGCGGTGATAGTGGCGTAAATGAACCTGTGGTTATCCAGTAGGAGCGTTTTCTCATTGTGGGTCTTGGACTGCCCTATTCTAAGCTCAATAGCACACTCATAATTCAAATGGTTACATATTTACTTGAGGATTGCGGGCTGCGCTTAGTACTACTGGTCTGTAACCAGATCTGGTCCATGAAAGATAATCTTGTTCTTAGAAGTCTACAGAACACATTTCGCAGATATATTGTTCTGCTCTCTACAATGTACTGTGTCTACATACTGTGGGACTTGGGCATTAAGCTAATGCATGCAGTGCGGAGTCTAGCACTTTAGTTCCACAACTCGGATCACCGACAAATTATCATCGTCACCTCTTGTTAAACTCCTCCCCAGCATACACAGTACACAGACCTACAGGCAATGGTAAACCCGGTTCGTCTGTTTCCGTGCCTTTCAAAGCGTAAGAATACAATGAATCTAATTAGAGGTGATCATGATACAATTACCTCACGAAGCAATACTTATAGCATTAGCCTCGATTATGTAGCTACCTAGATTGAACTGTCAAATTGCAAAATATTCTACTTGTCTCTGAAAGGGGCAGATATGGAATACTTACAATCAAGTGTCAGGGCCCTAGAGATTGCGGGTATCTTAGACGTTCTTTGCAGAATATTCTTTACCGACCAGCATGGCCAACCTACAAAGGACTGGCACAACTTACAAAGTACTCTGTTTTAAGGTGCCACCCCTGCCATCTGGTGATCTACATATTTCATTAGTCCATCGAAACGCTCTGAAAACAATTGCGTGCTTGGGGTATCAAGGATATTTAGGCCTTCTGTTGTAGCTGCAAAAGAGATGCTACTCTGATAGATATGTTAATCTAGGAGGCTAAGCAAAGCTGTGCTTAATGCTACCATAGTATTCGAAATGAATGTTTCAATTGCTGCGCCATGGCCTCCGTATTACCATACGATTCAGCAGAGTGTGCATGCATCAACGGAATAGTAAGAAGTACGACAAGTCGAGTGCGTTTGTAAAACCGAGTTGCTCTTGAGACTCAAAATCTATGTACCTAAGACATCCATATATGAGAATAGTACATACCATTCCCTTGAAGAGCTTTATTTACATTGCATATGGTGGATATTATTACGGGAGACCCAGTGTCATAAATCATGTGACCGCGACTGGTTGGTGTTCATTAGGTAGCTTTTACTAGACCTGAATCAGAGTGGCACAGATGCCCAATCTAGAATGATATATTTGGGATAAAATTTAGCATTGGTAAAGATTCTTACGGAAGAGTATGGAGTACTCCATATAAAATTTGTTTTCAGTAGTAGTTACATTGAACGGAGAACCTGTCCGCTAAGTACTACTATTGTCTTTCGCACATTGTGCTTTCAACCAATAGGAAGCTTTCCTGTGAGCCGGAGATATAATAATTCCGTCGCAGACATGCCTCCAGGAAATATTTACTTTTGATACCATTAGTTTTCCGGCGCCTCGTTCATTCATTTACAATTGGAATTAACGAATAATGCCGTCTCTGAAAGAGGATGGCTTTGACCTGCCTCTGGCAAAACGGCAAAAGACAACAGTCGCCGAGAATGCTGAGAAACTATCACGAACGCCTGGATCTAAAATCTTTTCGCCCTTCCGGGTAAGCAAAAAAACCTACTCTGACGAGCGTTTTGACAGGAGGCTTGCTTGCTGCGCAGATGGTTTACCCTGATTTATACTAACTCTTATGCAGACATTAGGACTGGTATCAACTGAAGTTCCTTTCACCTGTGTCCGCCTAGGCAAAACGACATTCCAGATCACCACATCTGTAGGACGCTGCTTGCAGACTTATGATCTGAAGCGAGGCCTCAACTTGGTATTCATCAGTAGGCCTCAGACGCCAGATATCATCACTGCGACTTTTGCTTGGCAAGACAGGATTTTTGCAGCATGGGGAAATCTTCGCCCGGGCTCGGAAGGGGGTATATGGGTGTTCAAGAGAGGTAAAAAGATTGCGTCTCTAGAACTGCCTGCTGGTTTTTCGGAGCCCATTGAACGGCTGCTTGTTTTTGGCACATGGATCGTTGGCTGCAGCAGCAGGTGCATTCAGGTGTGGAAAAACGCCTCATATCAACACTACACGACTCTCAGACCTCAACATGCCAGTAACCTTTCAGATGGACCGGTTTATACCGGTCAAATTTGCAACATGCCGACATACCTCAACAAAGTATTCGTTGGCAGATGTGATGGAAAGGTTGACATCTGGAATGTAAAGACCGGGAGGCTAGTATATTCGATGCTCCCAGTGTCAGCACATGCAGGTGCAGTGACTGCTCTTCAACCAACACCCGCGCTGTCCCTGATTGCTATTGCATACAAGAGTGGGGCATTATCTATCTGTAACGTTGAAACATGCGAACTGGTTATGTCCTTGCGTGCAGGCTCTCCACAAATGGACTGCATCACATCGCTCGCCTTTCGGCAAGATGGCCTAGGTGCTGGCGAACATGGACGAACTGCTGGCATGATGGCGACGGGCTCTGTTGAAAGTGGCGATGTCACCATATGGGACCTGAACAACGGTGGAAGGGCGATGGGTGTCCTCCGTCGGGCACATGCACTCGCTGGTGAGTCGGGCTCGGGAATAAGCCATTTACAGTTCTTGGACGGTCAGCCTGTTCTTGTCTCATCTGGGAAAGATAATTCTCTCAAGACCTGGGTCTTCGATGAGATTCCGTTTTCACATATCCCCAGGCCTCTTCACGTAAGGAGTGGGCATTCGGCTGCAATCACTGCCCTAGAGTTCCTGCCTTCAGGGTCTGATGGCTCTGAATTCAGTGGGAAGTGGTTGCTGAGCGCTAGCAAGGATTGCAGCCTCTGGGGTTTCAGTGTACGGAAGGATAGTCAGAACACCGAGATTTCCCAGGGAGCCGTTGAGCACAAATTGAAAAGAAAGGGTGCAACCAGCGGCTATACTGATGTCACGCATGCTAATTTGGAGACCGACTTCCGGGCACCGGAAATCACCTGTATCGCCTGCTCCCTGAACCGCGATGGTGGGATGGGAACCACGACTTCCGGCCCCATCTGGGCGAATCCCAAGGCAACAAGAGCAGACGATTCGAGCAAGACGGGCTGGGAAAGTATAGTGACTGGCCATCGTGGAGATAAATATGCCCGGACATGGTTCTGGGGCAGAAAGAAAGCCGGGCGTTGGGCGTTCGAAACCAGCGATGGAACTGAAGTCAAGGTAAGCAAATATCTCGGTGTTAAGAATTGTCTTTCTGATATCCTTGTAATAGAGTGTTGCTGTTTCACGTTGCGGAACTTTCGCAATAATTGGGTCGGCGGGAGGCACTATTGACATGTTCAACATGCAATCTGGTCTATACAGACAGAGTTTCCCCGCCAAGTCACCAAAGGGTGGTCTCAAACAACGGCCTAACCTGTCGCTCATCTCTGAGAGCCATGATATGAAACACACCAAAGCAGTCACTGGCTTAATGGTTGATGGACTGAATCGAACTGTTATCAGTTGTGGACTTGACGGTAAAGTCAAGGTAAGATCAACTCTCCTCCTTGCCTGCTTTGAGACGTACTAAGCTTGTCATTTTCAATTTAGTTCTGGGACCTCGTAACGGGTCACCTGGTTGATCAGCTCGATTGGTATCCTATGACATCTATCATTGGACTTCGAAGCAACCACACGAACGAGCTTGTTGCATTTAGCTGTGACGACCTCTCAATCCGCGTTGTCGATGTCGAAACCAAGAAAGTAATTCGTGAATTTTGGGGATGTGTGGGCCAAATTAACGATCTCACATTTTCAGCTGATGGACGCTGGATCATTGCAGCTTCCATGGACTCTACAGTTCGCGTTTGGGATTTGCCCACGGGCCATCTTATTGATGTTTTCCGCGTCTCAAGCACATGCACTTCTTTGGCGATGTCTTCAACGGGCGAGTTTTTGGCTACTGCACATGCCGACGGGGTAGGTATCAGCCTCTGGTCCAACAAAAGTTTGTTTGTACCTATTTCAACACGAAATGTGGATGAGCATGCCATGAACCATATCCACATCCCCACTTCTTCCAACGATGGCTGTCCTGGGGTTATCGAAGCAGCATTCTCAGATAACTTTGATGAAGCGGAAGTGGACGGCCCGTTACCGTCTATCGAACAGCTCAACGGAGATATGGTCACTCTTAGTGTTGTTCCTAAGAGCAAGTGGCAAACGTTACTTCAGTTGAACTTAATCAAGGTGAGCTCTTTTCCGCTCTTTGTTGTTACAGTTACACGTTCATCGACAAATGACGTGCCTTGCTTTGGCCTAATAATCGGCTTCTGACCTCGGCCAGGAACGCAACAAACCTAAAGATCCACCGAAGGCTCCTGAGAAAGCTCCATTCTTTCTTCCAACTTCTGGTGAACAAAAGCTCTCTGACAGTGACCCGAGCACATCAAGTGAGGGCATGGTTGCTGAGCGCTCGCGCATCGAGAGACTCCAAATTTCCAAAAATACTTCCGGCATTATGAACACGCGTTTTACTGATCTTCTACATTCAGGGTATGTGTCAGGAGACTTCGGTCCGTTTGTTGAGCACTTAAAGGGTCTGCCTCCAGCAAAGGCAGATCTTGAGATTAGGTCCCTGGATCCACAGGTACGAGACGGTTACTCTGAGCTATCCGCCTTTGTCACCGCGTTATCTACTCGCCTGGGTTTAAGAAGAGACTTTGAGCTCGTCAACACATGGATGGCGGTCTTTCTAAGAATACATGCCGATATTGTGGCAGAATGCTCTGGTACCAATGCGGACGACGAGAACGCTTTGAAGTCTGCACTTACCGGATGGAGTCAGGCACTGCAGCGAGAGGCACAGCGCTTAGCTAAATTGGTCGGTTACTGCAGAGGAGTGGTTGGGTTCTTGCGGTCCACACGCTGATATTTTTTCGTATCTACTTTCTGGAAAGTCGGGCTACACGAACTAACATGATTGGCCCTCATTATTGCTCAATTTGATTTATAGTGATGTTTAAACACAGCGGGATGTAAATTTCATTGCTCTGGAAGGAGTTCGTACATATTAGCTAGCGTCCTGGTGGGTCGACTGGCTCGAACATCCCCAAATCCATTCATCCCTGTTGGTGGGGTTACAGAATCATCTCGATCTGTGTGCGATCTTGCCACGTATTGTGCAGAGTCTTCGTCGGAGCATTTTCCCATGAGCTTAACAAGTCGATCTACATGATCATTGACGGAGCAACCAGTGCGAAATTCCTGGGCCATTTCGTGTCCAGGCCTCATCAAGATAGAGAGGGGAGGCAAGTTATCCAATAGAGTCCTGGTTCGAAGTGTTAGATTGTCAATAAACCCGGTCAATCCAAGTAATTGCCCGAGAATTCTCAAGGAATACAGCACGGATTGCATCTGCGCTATTAGATGGACATCAACCCAATCAAGATTGTCACCGTATCCCAGCATTAACAGTCGCCTTAGACGTTCTGTATGATTGATAGCAGAACCGGTTTGCTCATAGTGGATTATATATAAGGCGAGGATTCTCCAATATGCTGGCGAAGCAATTTCAAGCTCTGATTGAAGATGTACTGTGTCCAAAAGTAGACATAGTGAATTCATTTCCAGCAGAAGCCACTCCCTATTTCCCAGTGAGATGCGGTCTGTTGTAATTCTACTTCCTCGTCGTACATACTCGTCGACGAAATCACAATTTTCGTCGTCAGAGAAAGATAGATTGAGAGCGGAATACCCCATGCTTCTATACAGCTTGCCCTGGGCCCATGCACATTGTCTCGCAGGATCCTCGTTCAAAACGACGAGATACATGCATAATTGTCCCGAGGAGTCCCGGATTCTTCCACGCAATGAAAATAGCTCTGATATCCTTGGATCAAGGTGTTGGGGATAGCTTTCATATAGCGTTTCCTGGTCAAGACTCGGACTGCTCTGGTATTCTTCTGCAAATTGACAATATCCCGGTTTATGTTCGGTGGAGTCGTCTGTATCCTTTGCTTGCTGTATTAGCTGCTTTAAACCAGTGTCAGGATGGATTTTCAACTCGTAAGCTAAAGGAAGCAAGCTTGTCAGACCTAGCCGGCGGGCAACTTGATCTGGACACAGTCTCAAAGCTCGTATCAGGGGATGCCCATGTTGAGAGGCGTCGTACGTCCATGGCTCGATTGAATCCAATAGGACGACAGAACCACGTTTCCCAAGGTCATGAAGCAGAAGATCCGAGTCATTGGTGAGTATAGCACAACCTGTGAGCCTAGCAACATGGGCGCAATATGTATCTGCTTCTCCTGGGACCATCACGACAGCATCTCCCCAGGGGAAGTCGCTTAAGGAAGCAGTACTCAGGTCTGGAACGTTTTTGACCACGCTATTTATGTTCTTCTTGCACCATCGACGTTTGAGATCTTCGAAAACCGCAGGAACGATGAAGGGATTCTCGGGAATATTAGCATATTTTGCCGGTAGACTCCGTCTCTGCAAAATGTTCTTTGGGCTTATTGAGCGAGGCCTGAGTGGGCTACTAGACTTTTGAAAGCAGTGCGGTGAATTGGTCCGGAGCGTCACGAGTTTTTTCCTTGACCTCTCCAGTCGAGCAAGACGCGTTTCCCGCTTCTCATCGGGTAAGGCCCCATCAAAGCATATCTTGTGTCTAACATAAATTTAGTTTCAACAAGGCCTATTATAGGAAGCACAGCGGTATTATATACTGTACATTTTTACGCCGAGCATGCTCAGTTGCAGGAGATAGACCATTACCGCACAACTCACTTCATCGCATGTTGGCTGTGATGAACCATTGGACAGCGATAGCAGGCGCATGGAGACATGGTAAACAAGACTCGGTCCATCTATTACAACAGCCTCGACATATTCTGTTTGTTTGCGCTGGACTTTCTGAGGCTCTCCGAATACGATTGTCTCCGCAAACGGATACAAATGACGTGTGAGGAATGGTATTCCCATGCTGGAACGATGGCAACTACACAAGCGCGGACTATTGTGGGATGTTGCACTTCATCCAATTTTGTTGGATGTGGGAAGAAAAAAAAAAAAAAAAGGAAAATACTGACAGGAGTGGGCTGCTGATTGATCCACAGTCATGCGGTGTGTTTGACCACGCGGCCCACTCCCCCAGAAAAGTTATTTGTTACAATATAAGAAAAAGGCCAGCCTCGGGAATGAACTATATTATACACTACACTGCATGTTGCTACCCCCATAAGTCAGGTTTGGAAAACAACTTTCACACAAGTGGCCCTTGTGGCACCAGCAATCGGTAGGGCGTAATTTTTAAATAATAATAGTATCTCAAAGATACTCTCTAAATAATTAAAATTTTTTCTAACTATTTAAACTTATAATCTTTTATATATAAATCTAAAGTTAACAAAAAATAAACTTATTAATTTATAAATTTAATCTTTTATAAATTTATTATTAAATACAGAATAGAAAAATTAAATTTAATAAATAAACTTTTTAAAATATCTGCTAAATTCCAGATAAAGTCTATTTCTTAAAAAAAATTATTAATTCTAATTCAAGAATAACTTATAAATACTTTATCTTTAATAATAAAAAATTTAATTAAAAAATTTAGTTTGGTTTTAAAATATACAGGATTATTTTAGATTTAATATCTATATTATATTAAATTTAA